AAAAAAAAAATATAATTCTGAAAATCCTAGGGCCCTTGAGAATTATGCCAAATCTATTCTGCCTGAGCTATATAAATGGAACAAAGCCTGGATGACACCACATCTATTTACAGCATGGTTTACAATATTTTAACTTCACTGTTGAGACCTACTGTTCAAATAAAAGATTCCTTTCAAAATGTTACTGCTCATTGACAAGGCACCTGGTCACCCAAGTGCTCTAATGGAGATGTACAAGGAGATGAATGTTATTTTTATAACATTCTGTTAACATGCTGTTAACACAACATTTTATAACATGCTGTTAACACAAAATCCATTCTATAGCCCATGGATCATAGAGTAATTTCAACTTTAAAGTCTTATTACCTAAGAAATACGTTTCCTAAGGCTATAGCTGCCATAGTTAGTGATTCTTCTGATGGATGTGGGCAAAGTAAAGGAAAACCTTCTGGAAAGGATTCACCACTCTAGATGTCATTGAGAATATTCATGATTCGTGAGAGGACAAAATATTAATATTAACAGGAGCTTGGAAGAAGTGGATTCCAACCTTAATAACTTTGAAGGGTTCAAGATTTCTGTGGAAGTACCAGATATGGTATAAATAGCAAGAGTACCGGGGCTAGAGCCTGAAGATGTGACTGAATTGGTATAATCTCATGATAAAACTTGAATGGATGACGAGTTACTTAAGATGAGCAAAGAAAAAATGGTTTTTTTAAAGTGGAATCTACCCTTGGTGAAGATTTTACGAACATTGTTGAAATGAAAACAAAGGATTTAGAATGTTACATAAACTTAGTTAATAAAGCAGCAGCATGATTTGAGGGGATTGACTTTAATTTTCAAAGATGTTCTACTATGAGTCAAATGCTATCAAACAGTATCAATTACCATAGAGAAATCTTTCATGAAAGGAAGAGTCAATCAATGCAGCAATCTTCATTGTTTCTTATTTTAAGAAATCACCATAGCTATCCCAGATTTTAGCAATCACTATACTGATCAGTCAGTCGCCATCAACACCAAGACATCAGCAAAAGATTACAGCTTGACAAAGGCTCAGACGTTCACGAACATTTAGCAATAAGGCAATTCTCATTAAAGTATGTGCATTTTTTTTAGACAATGCTATTGCACAATGCAGCATAAAGTTAACTTTTATATGTAGTGGGAAATAAAAAATTCATGTGATTCACTTTATTGTGTGATATTTGCTTTATTGTGGTGATCTGGAACTGAACTTACAGTATCTGCTGCCTTTTTGTTGTTATTGTTACCTTTGTTTTAATATTTATTTATAAATGTATATAATTAAAATTTTTATTTATATATTATTTTTTGAGACAGAGTCTCATTTTATTTTTTTGAGACAGAGCCTCAAGCTGTTCCCCTGGGTAGAGTGCTGTGACATTGCAGCTAACAGCAACCTCCAATGCCTGGGCTCAAGCGAGTCTCCTGCCTCCGCCTCCCAAGTAGCTGAGACCACAGGCGCCCGCCACAATGCCTGGCTATTTTTTGGTTGCAGCCGT